GTTGCCCTTTAACACAGTTCTAATTACATTAAAACAAAATGCTTTCGTGAACATTGAGAAAGGCTGGGGAGAGAATCAGACAAGCTATAAATTAAAGCAGAGGATATGAATACCATGCAAGCTGCAGTGTTAGGGTTAACGTGGGTCTGGAAACAGTTTAGTGAAAACCTGGTGTGGCTAAGGGCCAGCTCCGAGTTTAGTTGCTTTGGGCTAATCGTTTCCTTCAGGCAGGCTACTCTAGCACACTAATAGGTTTTAATAAAAACTTCCAATTGGGCCAGTAAACCCCTCATTAAGCTGTTTTTAAAGCATGAATTTAAGAGCGGCGAGGGTAAAAGGTCACGAGGAGTATTTAATTCACAACGGCTGGCAAAAGGTGCTGTTGTGATTGAAAACACCAGAGTTCAAGTGTCCAGGGCCACATAAACATCCGACTCTGTCACTAGACCTGGTTAAGTGACAGCTTGAAAAATAGATTTAATAAGACAGAGAGAAAAGTTTCCCACTCTTACACGAGAAATAGGAACAGCAGATCACAATATTAGCCAGGAACAGGAACAGTCGGTAAGCAGCCCCGTCCCTCCCATCTCGGCATGGGGGGAGGATGAATAAATAGCAGCCTATGGCCATCTGGGTGTTCAACCCCGCAGCGATTCCCAGGGGCTTGCTGGGACGCTCGCGCTGCGACTCCGCGGTCTCCTGCTGTGAACAGAATAAAGTTCTCCAGGAATAACACAGACCAACCCGTCCTCCACATCCCGCTACCAGTGGCTCTCCCACATGCCGTCTGTACAGCGAGCTAACGGAGTAACAAGTGCCACCGGGTGCTAGCAGGATATTTATGTGCTGCCATGCGAGAAAGCAGACCTCTGCCAGTGAATTCTCTTACACTTGGGCATCCTCACACCCACCATGCAGACGCTGCAGATGGCTCTGCAGGAATCAGCGGGTGAGATCTGGGCACAGTTCAGCCCAGACACAGCTCCATCGCAGAACACTTTGCTTTGGATCTGCACTAGTGAAGTTTGACCTCACTTATTTCAACTTATTCTCATTTTCTTCCATGACCGCAGCGCTGCTCACTAGTGTAGTGCAGCTGAGATGAAAACTTCGCCCCTTCTGCAGAAACATGCACTCGCAAAGGAGAAACATCTCAATCTTGTACAGCAAAAGCCAGAACGCCAGCTGTGCACTCTAACATTTAATTTTATGTCAATGCACATCTAAAATTCAAGATCCCTGAAGACCTTTTAAGAGAAAATCCTCCTTGGAACAATTTGCATTGAAGTAAAGAGTGAGGATTTAACAAGTAATGGAGAATTACGTACACTCGGCTCTCAACTTTTTATTCTACTTCTAATCAAAACACACTTCATCTTAAATTCTGAGATAATAGATGCAATATAAAATTAGGGGGCAGGCGTGGGTAGGAACTAAATTATTTGCTTATTCCATGTTTACAGATAAGGGAAAAAAACTAGGACTCGAATTCAACCTTCAGCGATTGTCTTCTCTCCGCACCAAAATTAAGAAGAAAGTTTACTGTACGAAGGGGTGAAAAAGCTCTTATTTTTAAAATATGCTTCTAATTCTAGCCATACAGTTGGCCTGCAAAGAGTGCAGAAGCAAGGCTCTCTGGAACGATCCCCAAGGAAACATTTGCTTTGGCTCCAAATAGGACACTTTTGTGCATCAAGAGTCAAATAAGATCAGCTGCTTCTCAATCCTTTCTGTTTAATGATCCCATTGATAGCCAAAAGGTAAACAGACACTTTTCTGTCTATTCTGCGTGTTCCTTGCTGGGAATCCAGATTGCTGCTCTGGGAGGTACCTGACGGCCATGGAGGTGACGATGTGGAGTTAGAATCTCGCCGGACAGTTACATCATTTTCCCACACCACACCTGGATTTTTACTTTACAGAGAGACGTGGCTGTTCATTACAACTCACATGATCTTTGCAGCTTTTCTGCAGCTCTCCTTAGCTCCTCACTGGTATCTTATTTGACCACTATCTCAGGACAGACTTAGGGCCATCAAACTGTCTTCTGGGTATCCGGGGCTACTTAACACAATAATAAGGCAGACAGAAGAAAGAGGACAAGAAAGCCTGTAAAAGAGCATCATCTTTTTCAAAGCCTCTGTTAGAATAAAGATAATAAATCACTATATTAAATCAGGCTTCCACTGGGGAAAAAAAAAAAATGTCCTTGGGGGTATGTCAGACTGAAGCATCATCAGGAACCAGTGCTCTCGGAGAGCGCATCCTTGCTCAGAAAGGGTCAGAAACAAAGCTGTCAACACCACAAATCTGCTGAAGCAGCTTTGGTCTCATTCTAAGCCAAGAAAAAAGATGTCCTTAATTTTAAAGAAGGATAAAACAAGTTGACCTTGCTGGTTCTTTCTAGTCCCAGCACCACAGCTGCTACCTTCACAGAGAGGGAGACCTGCCACTGTGGGAGCTGAGCCAGGACCAAGGGTGCTGAGCGAGGCCAGCGGGCTCGTGGTGGCATGCACAGGTCACGAAGGCACCTAGAAAGGGGCTTGAAGGGGCCACAGAAGAAAGGCCTTGGTACACCAAAGCTCAAGGAGGAGATTTACGCTGAGGACGAAGTTGCCACAGAAGCTCATCTCTCCAGGAGCAGCCTGGCTGTTGGCCCTGCGGGTGTGCTCCACCGAGGACAGGCAGCACATCCATCCATCCATCCATCCCCAAGACTCCCGGGACCCCCAGCTCAGCTAGGAAGGACCAAAGCAATCCAGCGTACTCTGGCCAACAAGCAGTCCCATTGGAGCACAGTCCACACACAACAACCAGAGCACTGCGCTACCAAAAACAGGGAGGAAAAGGGGACATCCAGTCCGGCACTCCCGTCTGCTGGCCGGGGACCTCACACGCCTGAGCCGTGCCTATCACGGGGAGGGACCCGATGTAAAACCGCTGCACGGTCACTGAAACATGCCACGCTACATCTAAAGCCAAATTTATACCTTAATAACAATAAGTAAAGCCGAGAAGTTATTACAGCTCGGCTAATTTCACAACAGCGCGAACCCCGGGGCTGGCACCCACTCCAGGATTTGCATTGGAGAGCACCTCTTCACCTCTCAAAGATAAATAGTCCAACGCGGCCGGTGCTTTGTGCTGTGAAAACTCTTGCCTGGCTGTTTCGCGGTTCATTCCCTGAAGTGAGGAGTGTTTTTAATAACCGTTACCTGACAGGAGTAAGAGCAAAGAGCAAAACCTGTGGCAATACCGGTTGATCCCATTTGGCCTAACAGCTTGTTGTTATTTCCAGACTTTGGAGTTCTTTAAAATTCATAGGGACAGCCTGCAGTTTTAATAGAGGCTACCAAAATCCATCCTAAGATGTATCAAAAAAAGCATACTTCCTGGAGGGGAATAGGAAACAGTCAGCATTTACAAAGATCTCTCCAGGAATATTTTTTTTTTTTTTTTAAGATCTTGCTTTGAAGTACATGCTACCAAAGAATAAAGCTTCCAGAGCTCAGCAATATTTAATGTACTTCTACAGCAATGGATGACAATGTTGTTGTTTCAGCTATATTATACAAAAATATTGTGGTTTTCCTGTATTCTAACAAAAGTAACTCAAGATTTACATCTCATTCATCTTATTCAGAAGTAGCCCTTAAGCCAAAAACAAGGAAGGGAGAGACCCTACTGCGTACAAAGGACTTCAGTAATCCTCATAGGGTGGCTATCCAGTTGGGACATAAAGAAAGGCCAAAGAAAGATAAAACACCACTTGCGAAAAGCAGTTTTTCTACAACCATCAGCGAGAGTGGAAAACATATACAAAAGATGAGTAACTTGAGTTAAAACCAAGATGGGTGTCCTCACTAACCCAACAAAAGTGTGGATTCACATTGTAAAGTCCACCTGGCTAAAAAATCCCCATCTGATTTGGAAGTATTATCTGTGCCACACAGGAGTAGAAACAATTCTCCATACTCCTCCACCTCTCCGCATGGTGAAGCACCATCTGGATGATCCCACATGCACTAAACTAGTACATCCACTTACAACTGATTAAAACGATCAATCGGTAAACAAGGAGACGGATGCAATTCCCAGAAGGAGAAGGGGAGGTATCCTTGGTCGTTACTTTTGCAAGCCTCCACAATACATAGACACAAATGAACTTTAACTATTTTTGCGCCTAATATTAGAAAAAACAAATTGCTATTTGTGACTGGGTAGTGACAACTTGGGAATACGAATCCCCTTTTCATCCACACAAGGACACAGCATTCTTCTCCACTCACCCATCCAACAGCACGAGCACCCGGCTGAAGAAATGAGAAGACACGACCAAATAGGCTGTTTTAAGACATTATGCCACGGCAGTACTTCCCAGAAAATCAGAAGTACACTAGCAGTTTTCCTAATATTCCCAGAGAGAGGAACGCTTTCTACCAGGATTTCCAACTTTCCATTTAGACTCTGGCTGTGGGTTGGAGTACTTAATGCTTAAAAAAACCCCAACCTGTGCAAAGCACAAATCAACTTTCCAGCCCTCCAAGGGAGTAATATCTGCACCTCACACCTGTGGAAAAGCAGACGAGACGAGATTTTTGATGTTCACAGAAATCACCAGTGGAAAGGGAACTGGAGTTTGGGAGGAACAGGTTCCCTCCCAGGGGATGTCCTTCAGACCTCGCTTCACTTGGTTCCCTCAGGCTTATTTAACTATTTGTCTTTAATGTCACCCTCCTAACGATGCTGTTGGTACTTACACAACCCTTCCACCAAGTCTCCTTCAATCTCAATTTACAGAACTTACACCAGTTTTCCTTTCCTTAAGGGCATACAGGCAGAAAGAAACTCAGTGAAAGGTAGAGAACGGAGACAATCCAATCTTAAACATTTGACAGAGAAAGACAGAGAAAGCAAGCTAGAGTAATGTAAAAACTACATACCCACAAATGCATCAATAAATTATTACTGCAGATTTTTTCTCATTTTTATTCACTTACCAAAGGAATACCTGCAAAACAAAATGAAGAAAAAGCAAAACAATTAAAATCTCAGTTGATCAATTGTAGGAACCTATGTCTCATATTAGTTTTATTTCAAACTTCGCATGCTTTGAGTTTCAAAACATATCTGTCAATGAGTACGGAAACATGCCCAAACTGTATAACATGCAACTCAAAGGCACTAAATGGTAAATTTCTGTCACCTGGAAATGCAAGAAGAGCAAAATCGTTCGTTTCTGAGCAAATTAAGCTGTTATTTAGCACTCCAAGGAACTGGTTGCTCTTCTTTCAATAAAGATGCTCAAGTAGCACCCCCAGAAGAGACAGCACAGTCCCAAATCACAACGAATACTGAGTGTCACAAAAGGCTGCTCCTCACCTTCCCTCTGACTTGAGAAACTCCTCTGAGAGCGCTATCTAGTTGATCGTGCAGCTTAACCAGGTTCTACTACAAGATTATTCATTTACGGTTTCCAAAGCGTGCTAAGCACTTCCCAGGCAGAAGGCAACAACTGAAGTTATTAAAAACGCAAAGCTTAATGCGTATTTCTGCGCTGATGAAGTCCACGCTGCTGAAAAGCAAGAAGTCACTTCTCGCTGGTGAACTATTCATTGGGGTTTTTTTCCCTCTTGAACACAGAAAAGTCTAGCGCAATGCCATCGGCTGGCTGAGCTGTGTATGAGATGCTCATCCATCCTCAATGTCTCAGGCAAAGTGATGCACACTGACTGTATCATTTTCATGTGAATTTTTGCCACAATCTGGTGCATGGTTTCTCTTGCTTTTTTAACTGGTCTTCTCACTGAAATTACTTGTAGCCTTAACTACAACATAGTGATTTTCTGTAAGACTACCAGTTTCGATTAAAAGTAAAACCCCAAAATTAACAAGTTTTAAGATGCTATTCTTCAACAGACAGCTTGTGTTTAGTCCTGTTATGGCTTCAGTTCCACATCAGGGTTTTATTATTTGTATCTGCAGCATATTGCATTACATTAACCAAAAAAAAAGAAAAAAAACAAACCACCAACCCAAACCAGAACCCCAAAACAGAAAAATACCCCAGGCTTTTTAAAGATTTTCAGAAAGATTTGCTCTTACTGAAAACATCCTCAATAGGTGTGCAAACTTTATACTCGTACACGTCGTTCGAATAGTTCTACAATCCATCAATCTAAATATTTTACTACATATTTAACAACAATTTCATACAGGGCTACTGACGTATAGAGAGCAATAACTTTAAAATGCACAACAAGTTTTAACTTTCTTAATAAAAGTGGCTCTTTATAAAGATATCTGTCATTAAGGGCAACCTAACTTCACAATTCTCCACCACAGTTGTGGTGCAGTTAAACATAAACTTGTACGAATTATTCTTATTTCTTGGCAGAAGTTAAGAACCCCCTGAGGCTCATTTAAAACACACACACACAGACACACACAAAATGAGGAATTAATAAAATATTGTATTCTTCTGAACCACATTAAGTTTTCTGACGTGTGTCTGTTGCTGATTACATCAATCTAGGCTCCATAACTTGTCATGTGATGACAGGCAAACACTTGTGAATTTATTTCTCTGAAGAAGCCTGCGACACAAATGCCAAGGCAACCAAACCAAATGGCCCACTCCGAATACATAAAAGCAGCAGGGCTTCTTGCAGGGGTTGGGATTTTTTTTATACGTACAAACAGGCAGGTACCCAATTCCCCCAGACTTCACGTTAGAGTTTGAACCTAATTACCATTTTTCCTTTTCAACGTCCTCTTCCTTGTTTATATGGAGTAAACAGAAGTGTTTATCCAAAAAAAAATGTATTTTTTTCCTCCGGGCTGCCTTGGCATTTGAGACATTACCAACAGATAATGACAAGTGAAAACATGGATTTGATTTTGCGGGTTTGGGGGTTTTTGGCAAATTTCAACAGATTAACTTTTGATCTGCACATTGTCAAACCCAGAAATTTTGCAAATTCAAAGTATATTCCATTCAGATTTTCTAAATCAAGTTAAAACGTGATGTCATTTCTGTCCTCTGGTTGGAGAAACAATGTCATTAGCCATGACTTGTCATTACAGGCAAATTTCATGTAATACTTAGAAAGACTGTAAGTATCATCTGGGAATCATAAACATCATCAAATATTTGGGTTAAATTGTTTTCACCACATTGTAATGCTGATTAATTCTAGCTCAAATATATTCCTAGAAAGCAAAAACTGATAGCAAAACACAGTTTAAACTACATCAAACTACATCACTCCTTATGAAAATACTTTCTGCCGTCAGTGCCCGTGGTGAAGGCAGCGTGTAGCCAAGACGCGTTTGAAGACACGGCTCTACAAGATCTTCCCATGTCTCCAAACCATGTGTAGGCATGGCTGTGCAAACGAACAGGGAGCTCCCAAAAACGCTGCCTTTTCTGTATCACATCTTTTTTTTCCTGGGTGCAAAGCATGAGGGATGATGGTTTGTACTTGCTGAAGGAGGAGGAAAAGCAGATCGGCCAGACTTGCCCAATAAATTTACATTCTTTCTCCACTCAGCTACCCCACAGCTACACAGATTATTTAATGCAAGAGTTGTCTGGGACAGGGACTCCTCTTATAAGTCTATAAGACATGACAACTAATACTATTAAAAAATAGTATTAGAACACAGACAGGAACTTGTATCTTTATATCTATTGATGCTTACTATGAAAATGCAGCTGTATTTATAATCCAAGGGGAAAAAAAACCCTAAGAAAACAGTCCTACCCACCATTCACAGCCCGGCAGTGCCCAACACCACAAGATCCTTCCAACTAAACTGATTTCCACAGGCAGGATAATTCCCTGCTGCATCCCTAATCTGCAGCTGGTGTTAACAGCTTCTCTCACTGCTCTCCATGGAGAACATCCTCTACAGAAAGTGAACCCAGATGTCAACTTTCATCTCCATTATGAAGCTCTCTTATTCTCTGAGCTGTATAACTTGGGATGGGGAAAAAGGTATTTGGGTAGAACAGACACATTTTCTGTTCACCATCAGGATACCGCGCCAAAATCTGCTGTAATGAGGCTTCCACAGCAGCACAATGGAAACCTGGAGGCAACCCTTCCTGGGAAGGATGGAAATGTGACATATTAACTAGCCCAGTCTTCCTTCTGGTACCCAGCCAGAGAGAGGAGGAAGCAGGGGACCTTCTCCCCAGGAGAAAGCAGCAGCCTCAGACCACAGCAGGCAATCAAATGGACACGTAACTGGCAGAGTGAAGAGCTTCCTTCCAAAATGTCAGTAACAGGAAAAGTTGGATGAGCTGCCTGCCATAAATCTAGGTGTTGCGGTAGGGGAGGAAAAAAAAGGGCTCAGCCATGGAAGTATAGGAAAGGTGGAAAATCCACCTGTCCCAAGACAGGACTGACTGTGTGAGAATACCTCTGGCAGATGCCTGTCTAAACAGGATGGAGACTGTACCTCCCTCTCCAGGTATTCAGCCCAGTGTTCCTCCATATGAACATTTAAGAGGCTTTTCCTTATGTCTAACCTATATCTTCCCATCACAAAACCCAACAGCTTATTGCCCTGTTCACATGGAGACAGTGAACACAGAGAACCGCTAATTTCCATCCTCTCTGCTGCTTTCACGCGCTTGAAGATCTTTGTCTCCTTCCCCAGTTTTCCCTTCTCTCAACTAATCAAACTCAGCTCCTTCAGCTTTTCATCACAACAGGCCACTTTCTGCGCCGCCACTGAGGTTTGTGCCTCTCCTCTGCCCGGCGTGGGGCCGGAGCCACTTCCAGAGCAATGTGACAACCAGACAGGAGATGCTGGCTGACACCTCCCGGCCCCGAGAAGTGGAAAACCTCATCCACTGCTGTCTTGCACATGACACTCCTAAAAGTTACTGGTTTACGTGCCTGAAAGCTTGTTTGGTGAACCACAATATACCAATCAAATTAAAGCTGTAAACACTTCAGGAGGAAAAAAAGAAGTTTTTTCAATGTATATATATACATACAGTACCTGGCACCTGGGGATCCACTTCCTTAGCATGCTGCCTCAAAACAAAGAAGCCAGTTGGCAAACATCCCTTGCAAGATGCTGAGAGTCCATCAAAACGAGACGACAGAATTAGTCTAGTGCACCATTAATTTCAGAACATCATTAACTTAAAAGTGTGGGGGTAAGAAACATTTTTGACAGCTGGTTTCAGTTGCTGCCAAGCTTTTAGTATTGCACAGCGGTCGTGGGGGGAGGAAATAAGCTAGAATGGTAGTAAATGAAACCACTCGTCTGGTTTCTGGATTCACTTTATTGTGGTCACAGATCTCTAAAAACTGGGATTCTGCGCTCTGTAATTACAACATCCACATTTAAATGGAAGGAACAGGGATAACATTAAAATAAAAAAGAGCGCTTGAGGATGAGGTTTACTGCTCGGTTTGCACATGGTGCTGGGAAAGGTGCCTGAGCAGAGCTGGAGCCAACCAGGGGATGAGGAACGGCACGGCCGCCCTCCTGGAGCCGCGCCGGGCACTCACACCGGGGCTCCATCCCGTGCAGCCGCGACGTGGTCAGGCACTGCCGCACGGCTCTCCCCGCTGCCGAGCAAGCAGCAGTCCTGGGCTACAAGCCATCCATCCCAGCACCACCTGATTTTTCCCTCTGCAAGTCCGGGAACCAGGCTTGGTTAAGAGACCAAATGTGAATTACCCAACTAAGCCCCGGCACTCGCCAACTCTTCTGTCTGTACTCGTTTCCAAAGATAAAAATTATTACAAACCCTGGCTTACGCGACAGCAGAATTTGCCAAACTCAAGTGAAGTTTGCTTTGGTTAAATCTTTCCAGTGCCAAAACCAGATGCTGAAATGGCAGCCTTGGGAACCCTACTCTGAGCTGCTCCTCAAGCCAGATGGCGAGTCCAAGGCAGGAGAGGTGAGAGCGGGAACCAGCACCAAGAAGGCGACCGCAGCAGCACCGCAGCTCCTCCACCCCGCTTCGCCCTGCCAGAGCCGTGC